ATTACTTTTCATTTTTTTTTTCATTTTTCATTCATATATACGGAGTAGATTTTAACTCTAGCATAGAATAAGTGCACATTTATTCAAAAATCTATACAACATTATCTTAGATAAAACTTTGGAGTTTTTCTACGAAGAGTAATTTAAATAATAATCGACACCTGTCATAAAAAATGTAAACTTTTGTAAACTGCACGTTTATGTTATTAAAATGCACTTTCTATAATACCTTCTTTCACTTTGTGCATTCAATCACCAATGCAATTTCATTCGATTTTCAGTGTATACAAAAGTGCACTATTATATTACGGAGTATTATTTTCTAAATTTGTACATTAGCACTATTTACAAAATAAAATGCACTCTACCCATGAGCATTTACATGTACACAAAAGTGCACTATTATATCACAATTTATAAAGTGATATAAAGTGTTATAAATGTATTATAACAAATATACAAAAATGCACTTGACATGTATTATAAATTGTGCATTCTACATGTATACCAAAGTGCACTAATATATCTCAATTTATAACAAATATACTATGTGCATTTAAGTATACATAAAAGTGCATTATAATATCACACTTTCTAAATTTTTACACGACACTTTTAACCCAAAATGAATGCACTTTAAACACGTGCATCTAAATATTTATAGAAGTGCATTATTGATTATTCTCTCACACTTTCAAAAAAAATTACATAGACATTATGGTGCAGTTATAATACTAAAAAGGTGCAACATATATAGTTGTGTTAGTGAAATTTTTAATAATATCTAGATCATAAATAATATATGAAAATCCATTTAAACATAAACCCGCAGATATATTGAAATATAAGGACATAATTTTTTTTGACAAAATGTGAAAATGGACGTCTTCCTCGGTGACATGCACGGAACTTGTGAATAATGAAGTTAAGAAAGAATTAAATGGGATAAAGGAAACTATTTTGATTGAATAAAGTAGATGAAAAGTAATTTGATAAAGAATTCTCATGAGAACCGTGAAGCAATTAAAAAGAAATTGGATGATTGGTCATGCAAGATTATAGGGAGACAGTTAAGGAAATGAATCAGGTAGATAAGAGCCCAAAGTGAAGAAGAGAACCATGCATAAAGAACGATGCATATGGAATAGATCGGAAACCATGGAGAGAATAATTCACACCCTCCTTAATTATAGGAACGATTGTTATGGTAATAAATGAGATTGACGAGAATAGCCTTGTAGGAACTATTTTATTAATTAGGATAATGGTGTAATCCAATGGCTAAGATCTATTCTTTTTTACTCTCCTAAGATTAAGTTCTCACCTGATCCTAAATCTATATATATATATATTGTTTGTCCCTATTTCATCCAACAATCATACAAAAGATATAGAGTAGAGAAGAAACATATTATCCCATTCAATACCAAAATGATCGAGAAATACAGACTTGGGTATCGAGAAAGGAAAATGTGGCTCTCTCTCTCACTAGAATGATGTATGCGTGAATGATCTGTAAAAACCTCAGACAATATTTATATGCCTAGGGAACAGTGATGTGACATATGCATGATTGGGCTCTTTTATTGATTGGGCCCAATAACACACTTTACACATTTCCTAATAAAGCTAGTCTACTTACAGCTTACAAACATGCAAATGAGCTGAAATATTTAGACAAAATAGCGACACAAATACAAAGATATTTAATCAGATTGGACACCATAAAATATCTCCAACAATCTCCCCCTTGGCGTTCAATCTTGTTCAATCAGCATTGTAGCACGAATATCTTTGTCTTGGTGTTGATTTAGCAATGTAGAGGAGAGCGTAGATAAGATTTGTCCAGTTGCTCCTCTTTATCTTGAACTTCAGTGTAGCTCAGATTCCTTTGTCTTTGAACTCGACTTCTTGAGAAGGCTTTTTGAAGAAATCCTTTCAATCTCCCCTTTGATATCTTCTTGTCAATTTGATCTTTGATGTCGGGGGTTGAGGAATCTTGAACATCTTGCTTGTAATCCTTGTCTTCCAGAAGTTGCTCTTGATCAGCTTGAATGAAGTCCGATGACGCCTCAAAAAAATACATTGGATATACCATGAATTATATAATGTTTTCATAAAAAAATTGTCGGCGGTTTGAGACTGAATAAAAAAAGTGTGTGATTTTGTAGAGAAAACGAAATTATTTATTTATAAACGTTAGTGTATATTTTATGAGATTTCATCATAGAATGAAAGATCATTTTAGAATTACAAATTTTAAGTTTCATCTTCTATTTCTATAATCAATGGTAATATTGATAATGCGATATTTTTATAATTATTTAGGAGTAATTGCAAAACCTCTCAATTAAATCTAAGGTAATTATGAATATGACCATATACGAATACTAGCTAATGATTGCAATAAATGAAATATTAAAATTAAAAGTTGTAATGTTAAAAATTTAACATTTTAGAAAAAGATATCACTAGAACTATGCCATATATAGGAATATATTTGGATATCAAACCCTGTACAACACATATCTCAAACACTAGGGCCCCGTTAGTGATCATGGTTTTTCGGCTTATCACCATCATCAATCATTTTTTTTACTAGACACGTGAGTTTTGGTTTCACGTGCTCGATTGTATAAAATCAAAATTAGAAAGGTTGATTTTTTTTTTCTGTATGAATAAGTTAAAGTAGTTTTAAGGTTCACTTTAGTTATTTTTCAATACAATTCAACCAATTTCAGTCAAATCTTTGTCAATTTCAATCATAACTTCATCAATTTCAGCAGATTTAATCAATTTCAATTTTACCAAACGAATTTGGTTTATAATGCTTTAGTTTATAATACTTTAGATCCACTTTCAATTTTGTTTTTGCACTTTTTCTTAATTTTTATCCTCTAAATAAGTTATACATAACTAACTTTTTGGAGCAAAGTATACGAGTAATAACTTTATTATCTCCCTTTGCAAAAAAAAACTTTATTATCTCCCATTTCCCGTTTCTTAATGGCAAAATTGACATTAATAATCTCTACTTTTGCACATTTTATAAAAATAAACCCTACTTGAAAACTTCACAGCAATAATCCAAACTATTTAACTATTTCACAAAAATAAACTAAGTGCTAACGGTGTTAAGTTTTTCATTATTTTTTAATTTTAAATATATTGAAACAGAAATATATACAAACATTGGCACTAATATATTTGAGTTTAATCTTGTTTCTACTAAAAAATTAATTTAATATTCAATATTTTCATAAACATAATAGAAATATTTTTCATACAACATAATACTATTCAAATTCTCTATTCTCTTTCATACCCTATCCATATTTTATTAAGATTCATTTTTGTTACTCATTATAATAGAGATTTCGAAGTAGTTTTAATAATAATACATTAAATATTAAAACAATTTGTAGAATATTGAATTAAACTCAAATATATTAGTTTATCGTAGAAAAAGATTAAACTCAAATATAATATTATTAATTTTTATACGTAGTACATATTTTTGGTTTGATATATTCAAAACTTTAAAAAACGGAAAAGTTAACACCGTCAGCACTAGGGTTACTTTTGTGAAACAGTTAATTAGTAGGTATTATTTTTGTGAAATTTATGTATAGGAATTATTTTTGTAAAATGTGTAAGAAGTTGTTCTCTCCACCTGATCTGAATGTTTCTGATATGAATTTTTAAGTTCTGATCTGATCTGATCTGAATGTTTCTGATCTGATCTGATCTGATCTGAATCTTTCTGATCTGATCTGAATGTCCCTGATCTGATCTGATCTGAATGTTCCTGATCTGATCTGAATGTTCCTGATCTGATCTGAATGTTCTTTATCTGATCTGAATCCTTCTGATCTGATCTAAATCCTTCTGATCTGGTCTGATTTAAATATTTCTAAAATTATAATTATAATTTTAATATTTATTATGATAATTAGAAATGTAATTACACATATATAATTTAAATATAATTATAATTATAATCATAATTATAAAAAAAATTATAAGTATAATTATAATAATTATAATAGGTATAATTATTATTATACGTATTACACTAGTTATAAATATAGCTATAATTAGAGGAAGCGGTCCAGCTCAGCTGGTCACCGACTCACTCTCCCTTATGGGAGGTCTCGGGTTCGAAACTCAATGGGGTGAGTTTCAACCTAGTTTACTTCAGGCCCCCCCCAGACCCCCTCCCAAAGACGTCTCCTAGAGTAAACAAAAAAAAGCTATAATTATAATTGTAATTATATTTTTAGTTATAGTTATTTCTATAATTATAATTTTAATTATAATTATAATATTTATTTCTATAATTTTAATTGTAATTACTCCGTGTAATATAATAATAACAAAAAATATACTAATAACAATAACAACAACAACCATAATAGTAATAAGAATAATAATAATCATGATAATAATAAATCTCATAATAATAATAATCATAGTAATCATAGTAATAATAATGATGATGATGATGATAATAATAATAATAATATCAATAATAATAGTAATAATAATAATAATATCAATAATAATAATAATAATTATTATTAATATTATTATAATTATAATTATTATTATAATAAAAGGGATAAATCATGTCTGAACTTTTCTGATCTGATCTGAATGTTCCTGATCTGATCTGAATGTTCCTTATCTGATCTGAATGTTTCTGATCTGATCTGAATGTTTCTGATCTAATCTGAATGTTTCTGATCTGAATGATTCTGATCTGATATGATATGATCTGATCTGATTTGATCTGAATTTTTCTGATCTGAATAAAATAAGAATAAACAATAATTAATTAATAAGATTAAGACGAATACAACAGCTTCTAAAATACAAATTATTGAAGTCAATTTCAGCTTTCTTAATTTCTTCTCATTTACTCGCACTAAAAAAACAAAAAAAACTACGTAAGACCCTTTAAAAAAAAAACTAGACAAAGTGAACGAGACTGCGGTCGATAGTTGGGCCCTTTGCCCAAAGCCCAACAATTATTTTTACAATTATTAAACCCTAGAAATCATTTTTTTTATATGAACAAGATATATAAGCTTCCCTTTGTCCTCCTTTTTGACAATTCACCGTTCTTACACATCCGATCCAGGTACGTCACCGCATTCATTCTTTGCTGCTTCAATTTACACCTTATCAAGTAATAATGTCAAGTATTGTTTCAGCACACAGACACAAAGCACAAATTTAGATGATTTTATCCATCGTAAATTATTTTAAGATCTATTACAAACCACCATCAAGACTCCGGATTAAAGGTTGCAACTTTACAGTTTTTGTGTGTGTTTTCTTAAGTTGATGTTTGCGCTTGAATGATTGGCCTATGGTATTGGAGTTATAAAATCTGTTTTGATTTTTTTAACTTACATGAAAGATCTGTTTTTTAATAATCTGGGAAATTGATTTTATCACTTGTTCCTGTTTATTTATTTCTTTTCCTTTTTCTTGCAATCGTGTCGATATCTTATTTGGTTTCATGTAATTTTTTTAGTATTATTGGTCGCATGTGGTATAATAATTTACAGCTTGCTATTCTCTCTCAGCCGAGTAAATAATTTTTTTCGCTGGATTTTTTTTTCGCTGTATGTTTTTCATGGATAAGCTTAAGACCGAGAGCAGCAGTACTTCTGAAGAAGGCATTTAAACAGAATGTGATCTCTTCATGATAAAAAAATGTTTTTTTATTCGAACATGTAGGGTGGCCTAATGTATTTAGAATAGAGCTGGTCATTTATGTGTTTTTACATGCTAAACAGATATTTATCTCAAATCAATTCCCTTTTTAGCATCAAGATGTAAATATCTGATTGCGTTTTTGTTTTGAAGTGATTCTTTTGAGTTGATGAGTTGATTTAGTTGTTTAACGTTCATGTATGTTTTTCTTACCTGCAGTTATGGCTGGACTGGCACCTGAAGCTTCTCAATTTGATGCCCGTCAATATGATGCTAAAATGACTGAGTTGTAAGTTTTATCAGTGCTCTGCTATGTATATCCTTGGTTGGTAATAATTGTCATTTCATTTGGATTATTTATTGGGGTGTAGGCAAGCTGATGGACAAGATTTCTTTACATCTTACGATGAGGTTTATGACAGCTTTGACTCTATGAATTTGCAAGAAAACCTGCTAAGAGGCATCTATGCTTATGGTAATCTTTTAGATATCCAACTCTGGTTTCTGGTTTATTTTGACGTGAAATTATTTTTATAAGCAGAAAAGTTGAAAATTTATATTATTGAACAGCCTTTTTTTAAATATTATTAAATCATACCCCATGTCCCCATCATTATCATACTTTTTAAGTTTGTATTATATTCTTAATTGAATCTTAACTTCAAAAGTTTTTTTTACTGTGCATGCATCTGAAAGTACCAAGCAAAGGAAAATATATACCGCAAAGTTTTGGTATAGAGATATGCGATATAATGAAGTCTTAGAAACAATGTTATATATTTTTCAGTCTATGTATAGCATTCAGTCAATTTAGGAAAATGTTCATATTTTTGGGTGAATTCAAAAAGGAATGTGTATCTTATGACATGGGACGCATGGAGTATTAACTTGAGGGAGAGGGTCAAGCAAATCAATTCTCATGCGGCACACGTATATAATAGATATTCATTAACTATTGTTAATTAAATTTGTTCATTTCTAGTTCTCTTTTAAGTCCCTTAAATTATCTTTTGTTCCTATTTTCCACCCAATTTTGTTTCTGTGGTATGTTTGCTGTTCCAATCAGACCTTAATTGCTTATGGAAGAACTTTAAAACTGATAAGGTCAGTTGACTTTTTTTAAAGGTTTTGAGAAGCCCTCTGCAATCCAGCAACGTGGTATTGTGCCTTTTTGCAAAGGTCTAGATGTCATTCAACAAGCACAATCCGGAACCGGAAAGACTGCAACTTTCTGCTCAGGGATCCTCCAGCAACTGGATTACACCCTAGTTGACTGTCAGGCACTTGTGCTTGCACCCACACGTGAACTTGCTCAACAAATTGAGAAGGTCATGAGGGCGCTTGGAGACTACCTTGGTGTGAAAGTTCATGCCTGTGTTGGTGGGACCAGTGTACGTGAAGACCAACGGATCCTTCAAAGTGGTGTTCATGTAGTGGTGGGTACACCAGGACGTGTGTTTGATATGTTGCGCAGACAGTCCCTTCGCCCTGACCATATTAAGATGTTTGTTTTGGACGAAGCTGATGAAATGCTCTCTAGAGGTTTTAAAGATCAGGTTTTTCTCTCCCACTTTAATTCATTTACCTATTGTTTTTAATTGGGAAGTTAAAAATGAAGTTGTAGTCTTACTAGTTTTATGAAAGAGTGAAAGTTTGAGGTGCTTTAGCTTATTATCAGAATTGCCTTTTAATTTAAGGTTTTTTTTGCTGGAAGATTATGCAGGGTTTGATATTAAAACAGGACAGGGCCTGATTAGTATAACTTTTGGCATTGTTGCTCTTTATTACTACCATTAATTGGTAGTAAAAGTATTTATCTTCCTTTTGAAGATTTTCAATCCATAACAAGTATCCAAAAGCACTCTTTAATTGTGTGCATTGTACACTGCGATTTTTTGTATAAAAGTACTTGGGCAAAATCTAGAAAAGAAGAATAGGTGCACTGCTTATTGTGTCTTTGTGTGACCAAGAGGTCACAGGTTCAAGTCCCGGAGCAGCCACTTAAAAAAAATGTCTAGGCAAGACTTGCCTCCTATACACCCTCAAAGTGGGACTATTCCCCAAACCCTTATCTAATGGAGTAATGGGGTGCCAATGTGCACCAGGCTGCCCTTGTGCAAAACCTACATTTACTTGTGGTCTACATTATGATGGGAACTTGAAATTTCTTCTTTTTTCAGATCTATGATATTTTCCAGCTGTTACCGCCAAAGATCCAGGTCGGTGTTTTCTCTGCCACAATGCCACCAGAGGCACTCGAAATCACCAGGAAGTTCATGAACAAACCAGTCAGGATTCTTGTGAAGCGTGATGAACTTACCCTTGAAGGCATCAAGCAGTTCTATGTCAATGTGGACAAGGAGGAATGGAAGCTAGAAACACTCTGTGATCTTTATGAGACATTGGCTATTACCCAAAGTGTCATTTTTGTCAACACAAGGCGGAAGGTTGACTGGTTGACTGACAAGATGCGTGGCCGTGACCACACTGTTTCTGCCACCCACGGTGACATGGATCAGAACACTAGGGACATCATCATGAGGGAGTTCCGATCTGGCTCCTCTCGTGTCTTAATCACCACTGATCTGTTGGCCCGAGGTATTGATGTTCAACAGGTGTCGCTTGTGATAAACTTTGATCTTCCGACTCAGCCTGAGAATTACCTCCATAGGATTGGGCGTAGTGGCCGGTTCGGGCGGAAGGGTGTTGCCATTAACTTTGTGACTAAAGAAGATGAGAGAATGCTTGGTGACATACAGAAGTTCTATAATGTTACTGTAGAGGAGCTGCCTGCAAATGTTGCAGATCTTCTCTGATGCGCTGGAGAAGTTGAATGTTTCCCCTATTCCTTTGACATGGAGTTAGCTTGATATATTATTTATTTTTAGGTTCTTTTTCATGTGTAGTACAAAAAGGAGATTCTGATTTCCTTTCCAATTTGGTCATTGTTGATGAAATCGCTACTGTTACAAATTTTGTTTGCCTCTTATTTTTTTTTTTAATTTATTTTCTTAAATATCCAGAACAACTGCAGTAACGAGTGTTGTTTACATTTATGATGACTTAAATAGTATTTTATCTTCCTGCTTAGTTTAATTATTTTGTTTTTGGGCTGTGCTTTTCGTGCAGTCGTGTGCTTACTGATTGGATAACAATTCAATTATTTTCATCGTTTGTGAAATTTGGATTTTGGAATCCGTTGGGTGAATCGTGATTGGTAGAATAAACTTATTCTATTGATCTATGAAAAATACACACTTAAAATATGAAAAATACACACTTAAAATATGCTACATATTTATATTTATTAGTATAAAGAAAAAAGTTAAAAATTAAAATATATATTTACTAAAATGATCATCTACAGTAATTGTTATCTAATTGTAATCTATAGGGAAAACTTTCAAATAAGCTTCCATAATATATATTTTTCTGTACTTTCCCGGTTAAATGGCGACGGCGGCGACGATGTGTTCGAACCCCAGCAATGGTGGCTGGCGGGTAACAGGTTACATTTAACTGGGATTGCGGTTACTTACCGACCAAAAGGGCTTAATTGAACGTTTTTTAATAGTTCGAGGACTTAATTCAGTGTTCGTAAAGTACGAGGGCCTAATCGACTTTTTCGGTATAGTACGTGGGCTTATTTGATAGTTTTCCCTAATCTATATGAAAAAGCACTCCCAAGTCCCAAGACAAAATTTATTACTAATCTGGTCATATCTAATTTGAGAGTGTTTTTTTAGGAAAAATTGATAGTAATAATCCCAACTATGGTTGACCCTCTTATAATAATCCCAACTATCGATTATTTCAGAATAATCCCAACTTTAGGGACCTTCCGCCAATAATGGTCCCTTTAAATAAATTCTTGTAGTTTCGAAAGTGGATGAGGAAAGATATAACAAGTAATCCCTATAAGTAATCCCAACTTTTAATTTTTATATTTGATTTCTATTTAAAATTCACTTTTTGAGGGTGTAATATTTGGTCATGGACCATTATTGGTGGACTGTCCATATAGTTGGGATTATACAAAAATAATCAATAGTTGGGATTTTTATCAGCGGACCGTCAATAGTTGGGATTATTGATTTCAATTTTTCCTTTTTTTTATTACTAATATAAATTAATTGAGGTGAAGCCATTTTTTTCGTGGATTACTGGATTTTATTGTGGCCGAAGCATGCAAAAGGGTTAATGCAGTGAATCTCTCTAGGGTTTAGGTGGTCAAAGTCGGAAATGCTACTCTTGAAAGATTTTGTTTAATTTAACAAAAAATGTAAGAGGAAATTGCTATAAAGCATAGCATTCTTAATTTTCCCCAGATAGGACAATATATTTGTAACACCGCCCCCAAGTATTTGTACTTTATCAAATTATGTATTGAACCCTGAGAAATGAATAAACACATTTTACGTGATTGTAAATTTTTCTCATTTCTTTTACGTGAATGGTAAAATTCACGTGGGGCCCACACCGGAAGTGGAGGCCACCCGATACTATCGGGACCACATATTATATTCATCCGGGTCTAGATAATATTTATATAACGGTGGATATCCATGTTGGGCTATAGAAACTATGTGAGTTGGCTAGTTGTGCATATAAGGCCCATTTATTAGCACCGGCGTACTGAGAGATAAAAGCCATAATAAATTATGGAGACCGCTAAATTAAAAGTTGGGAGATATATATTCATTCTAAAAGTCAATAATAATTGGAAGAATGATACATATTTCTTTTGACCCGATAAAATGAAATATAGTTAAAACAGTCCGGAAAATACAACTTTCGAGACTAAGTGTACACTTGGGGACTTAAAGGGATGACCTCCCACATGAGTGGGGGCCACCCCACGATTTTAGTCCTGCATATAGGTGAGGGGAGCCGTATGAGAGCTTGGGTTGGGGGTTGAATGATGAGGAGACAAGTAAATCAACCAAGGGCCACTCCCCACATTATTTTGGGCTATTGAGACAAAAGTGAGGGGTTCCCTCCACCCACCTTCAATCAGCTCGCCCCAGCCATCATCCTTGAGGAGAGAGGGTCTGCAAATCACCATTTCCACCATCTCCATTCGAACCAAAGCTAAGGAAGAAGGAGGAAAAAGAGAAGGGAAAAGAGGAGAAAACTTGAGGATTAACAAGGTAATGACTTATCAATCCCATTCCTTTTCTTTAATCTTCCCATATGATTATATAATCATATTATATACCCCTAGGATCATTCTACATGTTATATGTGAAGAATGAGGGGTTGGAAGGTTGGTTCATATCCAAAATGAACTTAGAGAACAAAGTTGACGGGTTCGTTGGAAAATAACCTTTTAGAGGTTGTTTGTGTTGATATGGGTTTTATGATAATAAAACCTTGTCATTAACTTGTATAAGGTATTTCAAGAACTTTCATGGAGTTGAAAGGGTCGCCGGAGTTGTCGCCGGAGTCCGTTGAAGTTCACCGGAGTTTCGCCGGGGCTCAATAAGAAAGGCTAGAACTCCATAAGCTTCATTAAGGTGAGAAGACAGCTATATGCTTTATAACTTTTGCGTGAGGCATGAGATTACCTAAATTAATCAATAATGTGATTTATGAATTGATTAATGGTATTAAAGCATGTGATATGTCATATTAAAGAATATAACAATGTTGAAAGGCATAATATGTATGTTTGATTAGTGAAAATATTATAAATTGATTTGCATGCTGTTCCAAGGACCCAAATAGGTATTTTTGGCTTAAGGACGTCAAGATGTACATGCGTGTAAAATTTCACGGTAATCGGACTTCGTTTGGGCGGTCAAACGGGCGTTGACCGCCAAGTCAACTGTTGTACCCGACCGGGTATAGGCAAATACCCGACCGGGTATTAACTAAAAATAGCCCCAGGGGGCTACTGCCTCCTATACCCGACCAGGTACAGGTAGGTACTCGATTGAGTATTGGGTTTTACACCCAATAGTCAGTTTTGAACGAGTATAACGAGGGCCGTTCGGGTGGGACCCGCCCACGTTGATTATTAAGGATTATTATATGACTATAGGACTAGGTATTGTCCATAGTTAAGGAAATGAAAGGTTAGCCATATCCAGGTTAGGGTTTGGTAAGAAATAAGGTTGAGGTTGAGTATCCTCAGGACGGTAAATGATCCTAAAACTCGGTTGAGGTTGAGTATCCTCGGGACAGTAAATGATCCTAAAACTTGGTTGAGGTTGAGTATCCTCAGGACGGTAAATGATCCTAAAACTCGGTTGAGGTTGAGTATCCTCGGGACGGTAAATGATCCTAAAACTCGGTTGAGGTTGAGTATCCTCGGGATGGTAAATGATCCCAAAACTCGGTAGGACATTATGAATGTAGAATGTAGCTTGTGAGCTAGGCATTCAGGAATGGATGGGGAAGGTCGGGTAAGTACCTTATCCCTAAAAGACTCTTTAAGTGAAAATGACCTACGGGTCAAGTATTTTACAAGTATATACGGTATGTATCACCTTGTGGATGGGGTAATGAGGGTTACTCCTATACATATATGTATCACCCTATTTTTGGGTCTCGTGTCTGAAACATTAGGTATTCCTCATATAGCCTGCTTGTCACTAGTACTTTCTATGGAGTACTGACCCCTTCGGGGGCCTCACATTTTTCAGGTTAAGGCTAGAGCCCTGCTACCTGCACCTTTGCATAGGGTGATAATCAAGCGAGAAGACGTGGTTCGTGCTTCCATTCTTATTTCAAACTATGGATTTGCTCATGGATATTTAAACAATGTTTTTCCCATTAAACTATTGAAGGGCCTGCGCGCCCATGTTTGCCACGTGTGGCTAATTATCAAACATATTTTATTTCCGCATTTGTTTGATTAATATATGTTGATGTTGATTGTATGAGTTTACTAATCGGCTTGGCAATAGAATCTATCAGACGCCTTGTATGATTTAATAAGAATGAAATACATTATCCCTAGCTAAATAATTTAACTTAATTAATTGCCATTTAGTTACTTTACATAATCAAGGTCAGTCTGTTGATGATAGGACTTTGGTGGATTCTGGCAAACCGCTGGTGATCTAGGAGAAAAATTCTAGCGGCCGGCGGCAGTCCGACGACTTGGGGCAGCAATGCTTTAACTTTATGATGGTATTTTTGTCCAATCACAAATAAAGAGATTATGAAGTTATTTTTTTTTTAAGAAATATGAGATTATTTCAATCATATTTGGATAAATATCCCAAAATTACAAGTCGCGAGTGGGAAACTGTTTCATGGTTAAAAATTAGAAGGATCCTTGCTAATTGCTACTAGACAAGAAATCATAAGATTGAGATGATACCACCGCCAATTCTTCAAATTGTTTAAGTCGATTTAGGGAGTGTTTGGATCTGATTTTTAAAATTGTTTCTACTCTTTCAGAGAACAAAAACAGAAGTTAAAGTGCTTGGGTGGAAGTGCAGAAGTACTTCTGGTGCCCTAATTAACCCCTAGAATCAGTGTTTTTTAGAAGTTAGGGGAAACCAGCTTCTGAAAACTGATTCTGATTATGCTTCAATTGTAAAATAGAAGCAGAAGTAGAATCAGTTCCAAACACTCCTTTAATATGCAGAAGTGGGCAGACGGAACACGGAAGTCATGGTGGACATGTTTAATTATAAGGATAATGATAGAGTATATGAGCCCAAAGCCTATGAGTGAACGTACCATAGGTGCACTTGGCCCAAAAATGCTCGTGGGCTAAAAGTAATGAAACCATCAGGCATTACTACATATCCTCAGACACATCAACACGACATGCATCACACATTCCAACCGACCGGAGTTGTGTCACATGATTATTTATTAGACTTGTTATGAGAAAGCGGTCCAGCTCACCTGATGGCCGACTGGCTCTCCCATAATTTCGGGTTTGAAATTCAATGGAGGAAGTGTCAACCCTATTTACCCCAGCTCCTCCCAACCCTCCTTCCCTGACACCTGGGGTAAAAAAAACACGAATACCCCTCACCGCAGACTATTGTAAGGGTTTGAACTTTGGCATTCCAATCAACAGTGCTGCCATAATTTATCTCTCTAACTCTCATACTTTATTTCTCTATATATTAGATGTCCACTATCCATGAGTCGTATACTATAACTAGCATCGGCACGCGCTTTGCGCGAGGGTTGATGCCCAATGGAGAACATTTGGCCAATATGAAGGGATCAAAATTAATCAACTATATTAATATTAACATAAGCGAGAACACACAGGACAACAACAGAAACAAAAAACATTTATAACATACGTATTACAAACATAGCTGCAATAAAACAATTACAGTGAGAAGTTACTGTTCGTCTTGGATGAAGCATCATTTTTATTTAGTAAATATTCATCACAATCTCAATTTTCTACAATTATGATTATGAACAAAAGAGTTGTATTGATAGTATAAAAAAACCAGGAACGCTCTTCCAAATCAATAGACTTAGTAGAGTAGATGCGAAAGATGTCAAGAACAGTGAATCCAATGATAATAAGAAATAATGATTTCACTACGAATGAGACTCCGAAGATGGAGTTTGCCATGCCAATAATACCTTAAAGTATTCCAAATTCAATAGTTGTTTGAGCTACAAAAACAGACAAAACAATATTAAGTTGAGGCTTGTAGGAAGTGAAATAAAATCTAGGAGAGGGTGCAAGCTCACAAGTAATGGTTTATTAAAATTCAAATAATATTTTGAAAATTGTGAGAAATGAATCCCTTAAAATAAAATAAAATTGCAAAGCAAGAAAGGGGAAAGAAAAGAGAACTGCCTACTTCTGCAAACTAAGCTTTTAAAACTAAGACTATGAATATGTGATTAGCAAATACTCGAAACAACCAAGCAGTAAATGAGGGAATAATTCTTAATAAAAACAACACCCACAATTGTGTCCTGACAATTTGAGCAAAAAACATGCCTCATACAACAACAACAACAACATCCAAGCCTTAGTCCCAAAAGATATTGGGGTCGGCTAACATGAATCGATACATGATATCACCACCAAAAGGAAAAGAAAGAAAATAAAGATAAAAAGATAAGCTATTATGAAAAAGATAATATAAAAAGAAATGAATATACCTAAAAATGATAAAATAAAAAAAGATAAGAAAACAAGAAAAAAGAATGAGAAAAGATAATACGAGATCACTCCTCCACACGAATACACGAAAACAAGAAAAAAGAATGAGGAGAAAAACGTGCCTCATGTGAAATGAAAATGCTAAACATGTGAGACATCTGACTGAAAGAGTGAAAATGTAAATTGACCGGTATCAAGCCTTCCACAGTGGTGGATTTGGCACTTCCAATCAGGACTAACAATTGCTTAAAGGTGACTAACAAGCATACAAATGAATCTGGGATGTTGAGGTAAGAAAAATACGGAGTATAAGTAAGAAAGGAAAAAATTGACCACTCCGATGCATATAGGTAAGGCAGTAATATGCATATAAACATAAATAGACGAATAATCGGATAAGTACAAGATAAGTTGTCAAGGTGATAACATACTGTTCTCAATAATTTCCTAGCAAACAAGTTTACAAAGGAACAAAAAGTAAGTCCTGCAAAGATAAACTTTTATCCTCAAAATGTTTTAAATCCTTAAATGCCTTGCTGTATTCCTTATACTTATTGGAAGTAACTCTGCTTCATTTTTTTGGTATTTACTTAGAGCATATTCATGGATAGAATACCCTGAACACGCAGCTCTCTGACACAATTCTAAGATATATTTTTGAGTTACAAAACCAAGTACAAATAGAAGGAAAGGATGAAACCAACCACCATCTCGTTTTTAAGGATACAAACAAAAAATAGCAAGTTTGGATGTAAAAATCGTCGTGAAGATGCCACGATAAGCATACAGAAAATCAGAAATAACCCCTTTCCTAAAAACCAGTAAGCAAAACTTGACTTTTGGAACACCTAAATGTTTTTAAAAAAATGCCAAGCCAGATTCTTTCTGTTCAACACTCGAGTCACATGGAAAGTTTAAATGTGAAAGGAAATAAACAAAGACCTGCATCCCCTCAACCCAACTTACTCTAACCCCAACATCAGCCTCTTGAAGCATGCTGACATCATCAGCCCCATAACCAATTGCCAGTGTCTTTCCACCACTTCCTTTCACCAATGCTGTTACCTGCATGTCTTCAAACATTTTGGTAAAACTATTAAGACTCCTTGACAAATAGAATTGGAAAAGATAAGAGTGATAATGTGAGTGAAAGTTTATCACTCATAAGAGCTTTTTGTTTAGGTGTAGAGAGACAGCATATAACAGATGCACATTTCAATGCAAGGTCCAAAAATAGCTTCTTCATACACTCTCTGAGAGCAAAAGATAGTTCAGTTCCATCTATAATTAAACCAACCAATTCCGTACTTGATTCAATTCGACACATTCCGTCATTTACTTGCGTTGTTACCCTTCTTAAATCCTATGAAGATTGAGCATTGTAAAGATGAAAGTGATGGATTAATATGAAAATACATCTACGATATATACCCCACCGTCCTTTTCTTCTTGACTTTCCAAAGTAATTTTTTGTGGAGAATCCAGAGTAGTAAGCATCAGCTTCATGCCTGGTCTTGGTAAACTGCAGGCATACCTACAAGAATTTCAGAATAAAAAATGACTATGATATGTTGCAATGTTTTTTTAAGTCAAGGATGGAAAAGCAAGCACATGAGTTCCAAAAACAAAACAGTCACCCTACCCAATATTGATTGCTGTCTCCATCTTATCACCAAATAAAACCCAAAACTTTATCGCAGCAACTGTGAGTTTGTTGATGCATTCAGGGACCTACACAAGAAGAGAAACCAAGTGTGCATTTGATCATTGAAGGATGAAAAAATCATCACTATAGGATGCTATGTAATTAATAATGAAAAAGTTGTAAGATTGGTTATAACCCCCTTTTAAAGTGTATCATCAATGGTTGTGGCTCCAAGAAGAATTAGGTCCCTCTCAATTTTATCAACAGCAACAACATGTTTTTTTACCTTAGTAGCTACTTTAGAACCTAGAATGGATAAAAATAGATGCAATCACACATATATGTCACTTAAACTTCTGAATCACCAAACAATTTTAAGGAATAAGGTCAGATTATCAATCAAAATGTGTAGTTAACCTATTATAACATTATGTCCAAAACTGAATAACATAAGATGAATAAGATGACAAAGAAAAGATTACAGTATATACCATTGATGAAATTCTCAATTGTGCCAGATGAAACCTCTTTGAGAACATAGATACCCAATCCCTCACTTGTGTAACTGCAAAAAAATGGAAAAGGAGTCAGGGTTTTCTTATTGGATGAATTTCTTAGATTTATAGTTGAAACCTGGATGTAATTAACTATGGTCTCTGAAAATGCTAGGTAAAGGTAAAAAGAATGTTAGAGAAAGTCACACTAACAAAATGATAGACAAATTCTAGAAAAAATCTAAGAATATTTTTTAGATTGTCACATCAGATTTTACGGGGGGGGGGATAATAATCAAAGATTGGAAAAACAAAACGGAGAGCAGAAGAAATTACCATCCCAGCGCCAAAAACTGCAAACAAAAGTGACTGAAGCCAGTGGGTATCAAACATGTTCCTCTAGCTTCACACATGAGGATCCAGATGTGAAAATTATAAGCAAAGCAACAAAAGAAACGAGAAAAGGCAAGTTTTACGGATGAACTTGCGAGCCGATGCTTTTGTTTCTTATTCTTGTAACTTGCGTATAGCCTTCAAAGTGTTCCTCATCGACAGGAGGAGGATAATGACCTGAAACAGAATTAGGAAAAAAAAAGTGTTTGTATTCTTGTCCTCAGAAAAGATTTCATCACAGGACCTGTGTGGGGTAAGTGTAGCATCTACAGTTGGTGGATCAGAGAGAAGCTAATCATCTCCTGTTTGGGCCGGACTGTCACAATTAACCAAAAGATGGCCAATTCCCTCGGTTACCGCCTTGTTACAGGTGGCCACCGGGGGTTCTTCACGCTCAAAGGCAACATGATACATGGCTGATGGTAGCAGCCGGGTATCTACTGAGGCAAACACAGAATCTGCCACATTGACTACTTTCTCAAACAAGTTGACCCGAGGCCTCATATTTTCATCATAGTAAGCATTAATCGGGATTGTTGGGGCATCAAAAGTAAACACAACATCATACATAGGGGGAGGTTATGGGAATTCCAAAACCGTAACATGGGCGTCATTAGGGACAGAAACTGTTACAGACGGGGCTGTAACAGCAGCATCAATAAGGGCATCAACATTAGGGGCTTTTTGGACTAACAACATGTATTTCAGGGGCATCCCGGAGTGAAAGGGAAACCATCGGGTCCTCACTGTGAGTGATATAAGTAGGTACTTTATAGGTATCAACCTGCACTGAATTAACACCTATATCATCCTGCAGTCAAAAAGCAACAACCGGGGCCTCACTTTGAGGGAGATCAGAGATAACAGAAGTAAAAAGATCAACATTAGGGGCATATTCATCAGAAGCAACAAGAGCTTGAGCTGGGGCTAAGGCAGCAGCATATTTAAGGTTAACTGTGGCACAATCTGTAAGGTTTGAGGCATCAACAACATGAAGTAAACTGGTCTTAAAACCAGTCACTCCAGTATCCTGATCAACAAAAGGGAGAGTGAATGAGGCATCAACTGGGGCAGAAACAATCTCATTCGTAACACAGATTACCTCAGCCAATTGTAGCATCATCGGTTTAGGGCCCGAAATATTTTGGCCCCGGGGACATTTTGATTTGGGATGGTCAAACCCAGAGCACAGAAAACCGGAAGATTTGGCAAAACAGATTGAAAATAGGCAACGAAAAAGAAATCTGGATTATAATAGATCAAGGAATTTAGAAGAGATCACCTGGGTGTTGTCATCAGAAAAAGAATCTGCCGGAAAACCTTTAAATCTACCAGGCGGTTTGGCCGGGATATCGAGGAGGTCCGCATCGGAAAAAAAGATCGGTTGAGAGTGAAACCGTCTTCCTGGGAGTGACTCCTTTACCACCGCTGCGTATTAATGCGCAGGTTGGTCACTCTCCGCCGGCGGCATGTTTGCCGCAGAGGCGTCTGGCACGAGAAGCTTTGGATCTTCACAACTTTGGGACAACCCTAGGTGATTTCATTTCTGAAAAACTGAGCAGCAGATAGGTGAGATATCGATCGAGGCTTGAAAACGAAAGGGTCGCATACAACCACGTCTGAGCAAACGGAAGCAGTAAACAGAGCTTAACATTCAGAACTGTAGTAACGTAAAAAAGACCAAACTAACTTCCTTCCACGCTTTATATATAAGGAGATGTGTATGTATTATATCCAAAAATTTGTATGGGCTATTTTAATTATGATATATTTCTACTTTGATAAGGTAGCTAAAATAAAAAGATATACGGAGTATGTATTTAGGTATACTTGGAATCTTTTAAATTTTAGATGTAGGTACATAAATAGAAATAGTTATATACAAATCCTCCTATACGTCATTACAGTACCATTTATACGACATCCGTTTTTTTTACTAGAATCCCTTATGTAACAATATGTTGGGTGCACTGTGCACACACGATATAAGAGATACACAACAGCGCCAAAAGATTTTGAGATCAGCTAACATGAATCGATTCGATACATGATATGTTAACCAAAAGGAAAAGAAAGACAAGAAAGATCCAAAAAAGATAATATAAAAAGAGATTGATATACATAAAATTGATTGAATAAAATGGATAATTCACACACACATATAAAGATAAAAGGATAAAAAACAAGAAAGAAAAAGAAGACGAGGAGAAAAAAATGATAAGAGATCACTCCTCCAAACGAACATCCGCTCCCTTTTTGCTCTCTCCAAAACTATACCCTCATCTAACCCAAGAAGAAGCATATCACTTGTGACTCCTCTAATCCATCTCCGTTTGAGAGATACAACAAACATATTAAATTAGTAAATAGAGTTTGTCTTTCCTTTCTTTCTACCATTTTATGTATTTTGTTAAATTGTCATCCGAAATATCCTCAAATATATAGGACACAAATTTGTCATATTCGTTTAAATAGGTTTACAATTAAAGTAAAACCAAACAATTAAATGATAACTAAAAATACTCCTTTATTGTACAACTTCCACCTTCTCAAAGCAACCATAGTCGAATCGCAACTACTACTAAGGGAGTGTGCAACTCATCAACTGCTTCTGCTTAAAAAAACACTTTTGAAGATGTAAGAAAAATGTGATTAGTAGTAAAAATTGATAGTGTTTGAGAAAAAGTGATTTTGAAAAGTAAAAGTTGATAGTGTTTGGTAAAATAAGTGTTTTTTGTGTAATAGAATAGGGAAAAACACTTTTCACACACAAGTCGAGAAAAAGTAAAAATTGGTAGTATTTGGTAAATAAGTGTTTTTTTAAGCCAAAAACTGAGAAACGGTTTTTTTTTTGCTGTTACAAACACTCCCTAAGCCGCCACCACCGTTGCTAGTGGAAATTTCTAGTCACCGCTGTAGAGTCATCACTAGAAAGGTACTAGTAGTCGTCGAACAATAAACAATTACTAGTAGTCACTAGACGCTAAAATTTTGGCCGTCCACTGGCAGTTTTAAGACAGTCACCATGGAACTATAAGTGCGATTGGTAAAATCCTAGAAATGCTAACCTTAAACCCTAAGCTTGATTGGTATACCCTAAACTGTAATGGTAAACCATTAGAGTACGTATTTTAGATTAATATAATTAGCCTTATCAAATATAGAATCGGGGACAGATCCAGGATTTCGAGTCAAGGCGGCGAATTTTTTTTATATAGTAGAAAATTTTGAAAGTCCCCACCCCCCCTAAATCCATCCCTGTATAGGATCATATAAGTCATACTTAAGGAATAAAATCTAAGAAGTCTTATTTTAATAAAGAAGTTAAGTTTTAGCCTTATAATAAAGAGATTTTCCGACCCCCTACCCCACCGTAAGTGAGAGCTTTTGCGGCACTAGGGTAATGATCATGATAATGAATAAAGAGACAATTTCACATTTTCATTACAATGTCTATAAAAAGGGAGATATTTTATATCCCATGTGTTAAGCGATGCCCTCCCCTAATCTGTATGAAAAATCCATTTGTACACGTCATGCATGTTCCCTTTTATACACATTGAGTCCGATTAGAGTAATGATGCAGTTCTTGTCTGTTAATTATGATCACAAATAACTAATGTTGCATGAAAAATATCTGGAAATTGTGTAAGTTGTTCATATATACAACTATTTATTATCAGTGAGCGCTATTGGTTTGTGCGCCGCAGACATTGCATTGCTTTGTATGCCTGCAAAAAAACTATTATCCATGCATTGTGAAATAAATCTACATGAAAACATTTAATTATAAACACATATAATCATTGTTTGTCAATTGACATGCTTCTGTGACACACATATTTATTTTTGTGTCCACCTCTATACGATGACACTTAAATCAATGTATGAGAACAAACAATAACTATAATTGTATGTGATAAATATTAATCCTTAGTTGTCTTCGAAGAAATCAAATTGATTGAAATTTACACACCACGGTGTATACTAGGCGATAACACTGCGTACACTGACCATTAGAGCATCTCCAACGGTTAGCTAATTATCTTCCTAGCTTGATTAGCCACATAAGCATTTGCAGCAAAATTAAAATTTACTCCAATGGTTAGCTATGTCATCTTCCTCTTCATTTATTATTAATAATGTTATATTTAATAATTTATATGCTCAAGCTAGTAGCTCATTTTGACTAATTAGCTTTCTCAAGCAAAAGGTTAAGCAATGCTCCAGTGATATGCTATTAGCTTTAAAATTGCAAGCAAGTCCTCAAGAGGAACCATTGGAGATGCTCTTAGGAACCCATTTAGTAAAGGTGGACGGGCTGAATAAGTAATATTTGTTCAAATTGGTGAAGGCCAGCTCTGAATGAAATGAATATTTAGCTAAATGTGATGAATTGTGATAATATTAAACATAAAATATATTTTATTTTTAATTAGATAAAGAAAATGAATATATGAAAAAGAAAATACCCCCCTTTAGCAAAACGCCTCAATTTAATCAGAAAAGAGACTTTAACCTTATACTTCATATATTTTAATTATTATATAATTCAGAGCAAGAAATCAAAAGTTTTACTGTATATTTTATATAAAACTTGTCTAATAATAATGTTAATAAATTGAAAATAGAAGTTACCAAATGAGACTATGAGCCCTTTTGAAAACACCCATTTTTGGCTTAACAACCTCATTAACCAGCTTTACTACCAAGCGTATATTTTTTTTTTTGACTTTGTAGGCTCAATAGTGTAATTATCAAAATAAGTAAAACTGAAGTTACTTTTGCAGCTGAATTGAGAGAAATTGCGGAAATGAACTATTTTTTTATTGATATAACTTTTCTTTCGTTATTTTATTGGTAAAATATACTTTAAATATCATATTTTTCATAATTCAGCACAGCAAATTCAACCACATTAGTTTGAATTTCACCAATTTCAACCGATTCATCCAATTTCGGTGTTACCAAACGAGTTATACATGTAAACCAAATATTATTTAGGAAATTCCTTAAATATAACTGTTGGTCCCGTTTGAGTTGGTAATCAGTCAAGAGGGGGGGGGGGGGGTGAATAGACTGATTCAAGTTTTTCAACTTTTCTCAAAGTCAGAGTTGACTTATCAGAGAGGGTCGAGTTCTGATGATCAGAACTGGTCTTGCAGCGGTTAAGAGTTTCGGGTAGCCTCAAACAAACACTAAGGCAAGTGCCTTTCTGATAACTCTGAAAACAAGATCTGCTGAACACAGATTCCAAGTCTTAGAGTTAAACAGTTAAAATCCTAAGTGCAGAAATTAAATGCAGTAAAGTAAATGACACCGGAGTTTTTATAGTGGTTCAAGGAACAACGCGTTCCTCTAGTCCACTGTTCCACTAGCTTTGAGGTAAACGGTTACAAAGCGTAGTCCCTAGCACTTAAGAAGTTCTCCACGCCTTCTTCAAGTCTAGTTGTCACCCGGGATGCAGTCCTGCTTCCTGATGACTGGTCCTTTCACTCAGCTTCCCGGAAGTATCACCACTTCACTACTGCAGTTACTTGGACGCCCTTCTTTGCAGAAGATGTTCTGAAAACAGAGTTTTCTCCAACTTGCTTTGTTACAAAAGATATGTAGTTGAAGTACTTGAAGGTTGAAGGACAGGATGAACTTTGCTGTGTGTTGGGATTGGAAAATGAGAGTTTTAATCTTCCCAACGTAAGCTTGTCTTGTTGATGATTGTGAAGTTTTGAATCTCAAGTAAGCTAGAATTATGATGAGCAGAAGTTGTAGCAAAGTTGTTTTCCTGTTCTTCGGTGAGTAGCTTATATACTGGGGTTGTCTGCCCGTTGGAGGAGGAGACAACTGCATTGAATGCACGTACTGTTGACTTGACCCGCTAATTTGGAAGCTTTCTATTTTTATAATATATCTTCCAGATTTCTCGGTCAATCATTTGCAATCAATCCAAAGCGTATCAGGCTCATTTAATGAGCATTAAATACTTTCCTTGGACGGAATATCTACTAGCCGTTGATGAATTTCCCAGCCGTTGGAAGTAGCTTTGAAATCCTTCTAAGTGTTAGTCGGACTCTGATCGGAGTCTTCTGATACGTTGGATTCTGATGACTTTCTGAAGAGTAGTTCTGATGTAGTTTCAAGTCGAGCTCTGGTGTGGGAACTCTGATGCTTGTCTGATGTAGACTTCTGACGAGTCTCTGAGGAGCAACACTGATGGTTCTCTGATGAGCAACTCTCATGGTTTCCGAGAGCGACTCTGAAAGCAGTTCTCATATAGCAGCTCTGATCAGATCCACAACGCAACTCTGAAAGTCGACTATACTAATACTTTACAACTGAAAGATCTAAAACATAAAATCTAATTTGGGGGTACTTTAAAATTCTAGTCTAATTATCCTAGCATCATCAAAATCTAATTACATTTATTCCTAACAATAACTAATACATAGACACAATGCCAAAATAAGACCCCCATTGTTTATTTCTAAAATAAGTCACACAATGCCAAATTAAGACTCCTAATTGCAAGTTTTATATTTTTAGTAGGATCGAATAAGTCTTTTTTTTGTAAATAAACATATACTCGAAGTATCTCTTATCTCACTATTTTGTACTCCCTCCGGTTCAGAATGTTGTTTACGCTTTGACTTTTCTACATTTAAGGTGGCCTAATTTTTGTACTTCACTTTCCATTTATACC